ATATTTAGTAGAGTTACAGAAGTAGAATGGATCTCTCCTATTACGATCACATAACGACCCTCTTTATCCACAATAGTGGTTTTATGTAGAAAGGGAATTCCTTTCCGTACCAGAATCGCTGTGCCTCTCGTTTTGGCAGAGAAGTTAGAGTGATACACTTGTCCCACCCACTTACATTTAAGTCTGTTATGAGATTTGTTTTTCAGATGGGTTTCTTGCAAAAATATAATATCAGACGAAAGTGCTTTCAAGTGGGCTAGGACCCTGCCTCTCTTAATTGGTTCGTTTAAACCCTTGACATTCCAGGAAGTGAATGTAAGTCCCGCCCTCCTCTCATTTGTAGTTCCTATGGTGGCCTGCATAACATGTAACTCACTAAAAAGGTAAGAAAGCGCACCAAACCATCACGATCAGCATATGTAGCACCTACACCCGAGCAGTATCCAACCCACCCCTCCCCCCCGCAAGCACCTTTACTCTCCACCCTGTTCCCCTACTTTCCCTAACCTTTACCCCCCCCATCCACCCACATTTAACAGGCATACACACATAGGACAGAAAAAAATATGAAAATAAAAATAACAAACACATTGTCTGGCCGATGCCAAAAAAGCACGGCGCGACCTCGAACAAGAGGTAAAACACAAATAAAATCCCAACTATGCGCTCACCTCTCACTATCCTAGAACTTCTACTAACATATGAACTGAGGAGGCTCCCGCACTTAAAGTGTTCAATTAGCATCTAATAAACCTAAACAGAATAAGTTGCAACTTAAACATATTGCGCACTTAAGGTTCATCTTGGGTCAATCCCTGAGATAAGCAAGATGTGTCATCACAAGATTCTATTGCTAAGCAATACCGGTCTAAACATAAACCATCAGTAACCGACATAGACAGCAGGACAGTTACATATTGTGGGTTAGGAGAAGGGAACAAGGATTTTGATAAATTGAACGTACCCCCCAATCAAAAAAATAACAAAGTAAATAAAAATGTAAAAAAATTAAAAATGTAAAAATAATAATAATCATAAATTATTTTCAAATAATTTTAAAAAATTGTGATTTATATATACATATGTGCACACATATACATATACACATCCACACACACACATACATACATGTGCATACCTACATACATACACACACGTGTATATATATATATATATATATATATATATATATATATATATATATATATATATATATATGCACACACACACACATATACACACGTATACACGCACACATACATACACACACCCAAAAAAATATATACATATAAAATAAATATTCTTAAATATATACAGATACATACACACGCATACACACATACATCCATTCACACACATCTACGTACACAAACATGCATACCCCAGAATAATAATCTATACAATTTAAAATATACACATACATAATACTAAAATGCTAAGAGAAAATAATAATAAAGTACAAATAATTATTATTATATGTACGCACAGGAATAATGTAAGAATTGAAAAATAAATAACGAAACAAAACAAAACAAAAATGGGGGAATATAAGTATATCCATCCGAAAGTGTCAATGATCCGGCCTGGAAGGCCTCCCAAACAGGCATCGCTCTAAACCCAGTCGGAATGAAAGTGAAATGAACGTTAAGTGAGAGCTCTGACCGCCCTCCATTGGTCAGCTCATCGTATTACATGTTCGGTAGCCCTTGCTGAGACCGTTTAATACGGTTTCACCCGTTATGGTATGGTATGGTATGGATTCGAGTCCGTGAGCAGACCTTAACACACAATGACAAGGCACTCTAACCTGTACGGGGGATTGGTGTATATTCCCGGACAAACTTCTCTGCGTCCAGAACCGAGGAGAGCCAGATCTTCTCCCCGGAAGGCGGGGTAATTCTTAGTCTTGCAGGGAAGAGCAAGGCTGGGCGAAGATGGAGTTTGTAGAGTTTGGTCATGACATCTCTGTAGCCAGCGCGGTGCTTTGCCACATCGGGCGCATAGTCCTCATAGACACGAAAGGGGTGCCCTTTATGTAACAGGTTGCCCCTCATTCGAGCCTCGCGCAGGATAAGATCCTTGGTCTTGAAACTGTGACAACAGATGATTACTGGGCGAGGACGCTGGCCCGGTCCAGGCACTGGGACAAGGGCGCGATGTGCACGGTCCAGTAGGGGATCCGACGCCAAAACATCCGGTCCCATTGCATCCTTCAGTAGCTTGGCGAAGAAGTCGGTGGGGCGAGAGCCCGCCTCCACCCCTTCTGCCAGACCCACAACGCGAAGGTTATGACGCCTGGATCTGCCCTCCAGGTCGACCACTTTCATAGAAAGCCTCTGCACATTATCCTGCAATGACGTGCATAGCTTCTCTAACTCGTCGATCCTACCAGCGCCGAATTCAGAAGCCTTCTCAAGGTCCACAATACTCTGGCCCTGCGAAGCGACCGTTCGAATGGTGCTCTCGATTTTAGTGTCCAGTTCAGCAATAGTAGCCTTAAGATCCTCCGCTATAGCAACACGTAGTTCTCCCAAAGCCCGGGTAAGTTCTGTAAGTGTCACGTTGTTACCTGTGCCTTCCGCCATGTTTGTCTCGTTGTTTGGTGGGGAGTAGGCCTCTGATGTGGATTTATTGTCCTTTGGTCGCTTATTACTAGGCATTTTCACATAGAAAGTTACAATATTGTATTAGAAAGAAAAGGTTGTTGTAACAAGTGCAATAAAGTAAGTTAGGTTAGATTATTTCGCAAAAAGTTGCGGGAGCCTCTCACACACAGCTGTTCACTCCAACATGCTAGCTCCGCCCCCCTATTTGAAGAATCTCAACTATAAAATATATTTTGATTTGTTTAACACTTTTTTGGTTACTACATGATTGTTATTCCATAGTTTTGACGTCTTCACTATTATTCTACAATGTAGAAAATAGTAAAAAATAAAGAAAAACCCTGGAATGAGTAGGTGTGTCCAAACTTTTGACTGCCACTTTCAAGGAGCGGGACTCTAACCCGGACGCTTATAAGAAATCCCGCTATGCCCTCTGACGAACCATCAAACAGGCAAAGAGTCAATACAGGACAAAGATTGAATCGTACTACACCGGCTCTGACGCTCGTCGGATGTGGCAGGGCTTGAAAACTATTACAGATAACAAAGGGAAGCACAGCCGCGAGCAACCCAGTGACACAAGCCTACCAGAGGAGCTAAATCACTTCTATGCTCGCTTCGAGGCAAGCAACACTGAAGCATGATGAGAGCACCAGCTGTTCTGGATGACTATGTGATCACGCTCTCCGTAGCCGATGTGAGTAAGACTTTTAAGCAGGTCAACATTCACAAGGCCGCAGGGCCAGACGGATTACCAGGACGTGTACTCCGAGCATGTGCTGACCAATTGGCAAGTGTCTTCACTGACAGTTTCAACATGTCCCTGACTTGAGTCTGTAATACCAACATGTTTCAAGCAGACCACCATAGTCCCTGTGCCCAAGGACACTAAGATAACCTGCCTAAATGACTACCGACCCGTAGCACTCACGTCTGTAGCCATGAAGTGCTTTGAAAGGCTGGTCATGGCTCACATCAACACCATTATCCCAGAAACCCTAGACCCACTCCAATTTGCATACCGCCCAAACAGATCCACAGATGATGCAATCTCTATTGCACTCAACACTGCCCTTTCCCACCTGGACAAGAGGAACACCTACGTGAGAATGCTATTCATTGACTACAGCTCAGCGTTCAACACCATAGTGCCCTCAAAGCTCATCACTAAGCTAAGGATCCTGGGACTAAACACCTCCCTCTGCAACTGGATCCTGGACTTCCTGACGGGCCGCCCCCAGGTGGTAAGGGTAGGTAACAACACATCTGCCACACTGATCCTCAACACGGGGTGCCCTCAGGGGTGCGTGCTCAGTCCCCTCCTGTACTCCCTGTTCACCCATGACTGCATGGCCAGGCACGACTCCAACACCATCATTAAGTTTGCCGACGACACAACAGTGGCCTGATCACCGATAACGATGAGACAGCCTATAGGGAAGAGGTCAGAGACCTGGCTGTGTGGTGCCAGGATAACAACCTCTCCCTCAACGTGATCAAGACAAAGGAGATGATTGTGGACTACAGGAAGAAAAAAAAAGGACTGAGCACGCCCCCATTCTCATTGATGGGGCTGTAGTGGAACAGGTTGAGAGCTTCAAATTCCTTGGTGTCCACATCACCAACAAATTATCATGGTCCAAGCACACCAAGACAGTCGTGAAGAGGGCACGACAAAGCCTATTCCCCCTCAGGAGACTGAAAACATTTGGCATGGGTCCTCAGATCCTCAAAAAGTTCTACAGCTGCACCATCGAGAGCATCCTGACCGGTTGCATCCCCGCCTGGTATGGCAACTGCTCGGCCTCCGACCGCAAGGCACTACAGAGGGTAGTGCGTACGGCCCAGTACATCACTGGGGCTAAGCTTCCTGCCATCCAGGACCTCTATACCAGGCAGTGTCCAGCCACACTAGTCATAGACTGTTCTCTTTGCTACTGCACGGCAAGAGGTACCAGAGCGCCAAGTCTAGGTCCAAAAGGCTTCTCAACAGCTTCTATCCCCAAGCCACAAGACTCCTGAACAGCTAATCATGGCTACCCGGACTATTTGCATTGCCCCCCCACCCCGTCCCCCTTTTTTACTCTGCTGCTACCTTTTTGGAGCATGGATCATTGACATTTTAAAAACCATTTTGAGACAAAGATCAGAATATATGTGGGTGTTCTTTCTGCATTAGATTAGTCTGTTTTTTTTACCAAGTACCTGAGAAATAGTTTAATTGTGCCAACTGCAAATGCTACTGGCACTGAGATGTTGATACCATATTGAAAGAGTGGTTGCTTCCCAATTGGCTTCATATTCCCTATTCCCTTAGGGCCCATAGGGGTCTGGTCAAAAGTAGTGCACTATAAAGGGAATAGGTGCCATTTGGGACACAGCCAATTTAGCACTCACCCTGAAGGACAGCTCCAGGTTCTCTCCTCCCCACACCTCCATGCCCATGTCGTATGTGCCCAGGTACTCAAAGTAGGCCTTGCTCACAGCAAACAGTCCACCAGCCATTGTAGGAGACCTGAGAGAGAGAGAAAGCATAGTGGAACATGGAGGTCAGTACAGTGTGCAGTTAACAGTCAGAGGCCATATTAGAATACTTTTAAATGAAATCTATTTTCTCACTTTCTTGAGGTAATCACTTATTTGTATGTGATTAGACCAAACTTAATAAGTGATTAGACCTTATTCAAGGAATGAAGGAGAAGCTGAGATGCATTTCAAAACATTTTAAACTAGGCCAGAAAGGAGAGTATTTGGGATCCTATAAAACTATCACTTTTACAAAACAACTTCTCTTCAAAATATCTCTCTATTTCATTTCCTCCTAAGAGGAGAGCCAGAGGTTATGTCCCAAAAGGCACCCTATTCCTTATATAGTGCACTACTACAGGGCCATAGGGCTCTGGTCAAAAGTAGTGCACCAAATAGAGAAAATGGTGTTGTTTGAGATGGGCCCAGAAATCCCATATGGAAAGAAACTGATGACCATAGTTTTACTGACCTGATGGGTTCGGTGCGGGACTTGCGTTTCTTGCGGTCGACCTCAGGGAGGGAGTGCCACTGGAAGGTCAGCCTCCAGTCGAAGCCTCCGATCATGGGCTCATCTGTCTGCATGTAGAACTCAAACGTGTTCCAGTCTATGGTGTCGATCACCGGACACACGATGGTGGTCTCATTCTCTCCAATCCTGGATATATGGTGTAAGAAACAACACTCACTGAAAGTCCCTGGAAGGTTTTCATGATGAGACAATCCCTCATTTACATGTGATGAAAGTCATAACCATGTGCCACTATACTTGACCAGGAATGCCAATAGGCCAATCAACACTAGTCTGTTTTTATTGCCTCCAGAATGTCTTGTTGCTATGCAACCCTAATGACCAGTCCCATCCCATTCATAGAGTATTGAATCTGTAATTGAAATCAAATTGTCAATATGGTGGCTAAGTGACAAACACACCTCTCCAAGAGCGGCTCGATCCAGCCGGGGACACACTCGCAATGACAGTCCAGGAAAGTCAGTACGTCCCCCGTGGCATAGGTGGCGCCGATGAGCCTCGCCCTGACCAGCCCCTCCCTCTTGTTGGTGCGGATGAGGCGGACACGCTCCCAGTTACTGATGTACTGCTCCAGCTGAGACTGCAGATAGACTGGGTTTCACACAGAGAGATAGATGGTCAAGGATTCTCTCTCACACACACACACACACACACACACACACACACACACACACACACACACACACAACTTCTAAAACCTCATAATGGATAGTATGGGAAGGGCATACATCCTTACTTGGCAACTGTTTTCAAAGTTTATTCGCAGCGTGCACAGGATACAACAGGTGTAAAACAGTACAATGAAATTCTTACTTGAGAGCTCTTTCCCAACAGTGCAGTGATAATAATACAGACAACAATAGAAAATAAAAAGGTCTTATCTTTGCACACTGACAGACCAACAAGCTCAATTATTAAAATCACAGTCCCAGTCTCCCTGAAGAGGAAGAGACCATCAGTAGTGTTGAAGAGAACGCTTTCCTCTCTCATTTTTCATCAGTCTCTTGTATATTACAGTTGTGGTTGAGAATGACGTGGCATTTTACATCCTGACTGGTCTAAGAGGGCGGTGGAGAGTCAATTCTGTAATATGTGGTCATTTGACACAAAGAGACAGCAGCTTTCATGTCTGAGCATAGAATTTGAATGAAAAGAACAGACATTCCCCATTCAGGTCAATTATGTCATAATGGGTGGACTGGTGGCCATTTTGAATCATTTTGCTCAATATATTTCTCTGTGTCTGAGAAAGCCATTTGTCCTATTCACTGACAGATACATAGAGACCTATTATATAACTGATCATCCTGTTCTGTATTACCGTCAACTTTGGGGAGAAACGCAATGCCTGACAAATATTAGCTAGGTATTCATAGTATATTTTAAGCTTTATTTTACTCTCTAACGTTTGTGTTTTCTTGGCATAAAAGATTGTTCATATAAAAACTAAGTTTATTAACCAGATGTTCCCAAATTAAAATATGTTCCATGATGTTTCACAAAATTGACAACTAAAAAGCATGAACTTGACGCAAATCTCCAAATGTTTGTAGAGGTGCTGACTAGGCTAACAGAACAGTAAACTGTGTAATAATTACTTTATTTATTATCCCCAAAAATAGACAACGACAAAAAAGGTCTACATGCTCCGTCTCACCTCGGTCACTAAAGTCGTCTATGAGGATGATCTCCTTCAGCAGGACAGCGGGCGTGCTCTCCAGAACACTGTGGATGGTCCTGAGAAGGGTGGACCAGGCCTCGTTGTAGAACGCTATGATCACCGACGTGGTCGGCAGATGGCGGTAGTCAAACTTCTTAGCTCTGCATCTGTACTCAAATGAAAGAGAGAGACATTGTTGTTGTTTATTGGGATTGCTTTTAGCCTATTAAAGGCTAATCTTTCAAAGTCCCTAAATAAATGTCAAGATTAAGGGATAGGTAACAATTTAAGCAATAAAGAGAAACATAAAATAACCCCTCCTATAGATATTATTCTTATTCGTGAAATAAACTATTTTTAGAAAAATAAAAAGTATTATACATAATGATGGGGATACTAATCCCGATATAAGCTGACTGCAAGACAGACCACACAATCAGTCACTCTCTTTGGAGCAGTGTACATGTGACAGTTTACTTGAGAGTTGCTTTGGTCAGTGCAGGAGAGGAGCATTTGGTCTCATTCCTGTGGGGAGTAGTGGAAACGACAAGAAACAGAAATATGAGGGGAAAGAAATCACACCGACGTCCCACATGCCTGAGCAGTTCTCACGGAGAGACCAGAGGACAACATGCCTGAGCCGTTCTCATGGAGACCAGAGGACAACATGCCTGAGCCGTTCTCATGGAGAGACCAGAGGACAACATGCCTGAGCCGTTCTCACGGAGAGACCAGAGGACAACATGCCTGAGCCGTTCTCATGGAGAGACCAGAGGACAACATGCCTGAGCCGTTCTCACGGAGAGACCAGAGGACAACATGCCTGAGCCGTTCTCATGGAGAGACCAGAGGACAACATGCCTGAGCCGTTCTCACTGAGAGACCAGAGGACAACATGCCTGAGCCGTTCTCATGGAGAGACCAGAGGACAACATGCCTGAGCCGTTCTCACGGAGAGACCAGAGGACAACATGCCTGAGCCGTTCTCATGGAGAGACCAGAGGACAACATGCCTGAGCCGTTCTCACGGAGAGACCAGAGGACAACATGCCTGAGCCGTTCTCACTGAGAGACCAGAGGACAACATGCCTGAGCCGTTCTCATGGAGAGACCAGAGGACAACATGCCTGAGCCGTTCTCACGGAGAGACCAGAGGACAACATGCCTGAGCCGTTCTCAAGGAGAGACCAGAGGACAACATGCCTGAGCCGTTCTCACGGAGAGACCAGAGGACAACATGCCTGAGCCGTTCTCACGGAGAGACCAGAGGACAACATGCCTGAGCCGTTCTCACGGAGAGACCAGAGGACAACATGCCTGAGCCGTTCTCACGGAGAGACCAGAGGACAACATGCCTGAGCCGTTCTCATGGAGAGACCAGAGGACAACATGCCTGAGCAGTTCTCATGGAGAGACCAGAGGAGTAAGTAATTCAAACTCAAGCAGAACAGCGTCTTTTATGGAAAACAGATGAAAAGTAACAAAAACACGAGCTTGTATTCAACCAGAGCGATAATGGTGTGTGTGTTTGTGTGTGTAGTAGCTTGATAATGGACAAGTTGTAACCTGTTTTGTTGCCGATCTTTATGCAAGCAACGGTAGGCTTCACAATAAAGGTAAACAGCACAGTAGGTAGGTAACAAATCTGCTACATTCCAAGCAATTTACATGCCTCACAAGAAGATTAAAGTCTCTGTTATGTGATTGGCCCGATCTCAACTTACACTGTGTGTGTTACTAATTGACGTCATGCTTGCCTTGCACAAAAGTTGGAGTTGGGTGATTGTATTTGAAGTTAGGATTTGGCTTTAAACGTTTATTTGAGCATTCAACATTTGGGCTAAAATTCTTTTTCAGCTGGGACCCTTTTTTTTTCTCACAAATCTAATGACACAACCTTAAAATCAGTCCATTTAGATTTTTACATCAACAAATAACCTTAAAATCATAACATTTTCATAAAAATGACAAGAAACCAATAAATTTTCTCAATAATATTGTATTTTTCAAATGATCTTGCTCAAAAACGTTAGTATATTATCCCATAAAAAAATCTGCACTCTTAATTATTTGTTCCTAAAAAAATTATCTGAATGTTGCGAAAATAACCTGATTTTATGTGAGGGGTAATATTATAATACATTATCACATGGGGGTTGGGCCGCCACCATCATCGAGCATCACTTCCGCTGTGAACAGCTGGGAAGATGAAACACAGATGGAGAATTTTTATTGAGGCAATCAATCAAAGTTCAGTCCTCTAGCGTAATGAATACCGTACCTTTTAAAGTGAGTCAGGGCAGTTAGGGAAGTTCCCCATTCATCCCTTACAGCTAGCGGTACAGTTAATATCTCTGTCTACATCACACCAAGTTAGCCAAGTCTAATTCAGCTTCATAACACAGATTTGTCTATTTAAGTAGCCATTAGTAAAAGTTGTATGTTTCTGCAATCAGCCTCACTGGACCTGTACAATAAGATGTGGTTACTGGTCTAAACTACTAGTCCAGATGGATTGTATTGCCAGGGGGGTCTCTGTGTGTGCACTGGGAAAATCTCAATAGCATACTCCTCGCATCCTCTCTCCTTGCCTCGTTCTCAAAAACTAATTGGAGGAGAAGGTCAGAGGGGAGGGACATCTGGCTTTCTCATCCAATGGGTTTTGAGAAGGAGATGAGGAGAGAGGACACGAGGAGTATGCTATTGAGATGTTCCCACTGTGTGAATATGAAGATCATTTGCCTACTCACTCCTTCATCCTGTTGTCCTGGATGTGTCGGTGCAGGGAGATCTTATCACTGACAAAGATATTAATAGCGTATCTCTCCACGCTGTCCTCCTCCTGCTTCTTCTCCTCCGGGCTGAGGTTTAGCCTGGTGGCCTTTCCCCACTCCCCGGGAGCGTTGGCGTCCGCCGGCGCCTTCACGTACACAGGCCTGGCCAGCTGCTCGCTCCCCTGTTCCTCCACGGGGGATAAGTGCCTGACCAGCAGGCTGCGGCCCCCTCCGTCCTCCCCTCCATCGGTCCCTGTGGAGGAGAAGGAACGGGCCAGGAGCAGGTAACCCAGCCACAGCACCCACAGCAGGAAGAAGGTCTTTGCTAGGAGGCCCAGCTTCCTGGAGCAACGCACCCTCATCGCCCCCAGCAACCACTAGAGTGGAATCTCACCAGCTGCCACTCAAGAGTGCCCAGGCCACACAGCTCTGTGGAAAACACAAACAAACAACAGGGAGGGCTGAGAAAATGTTTAGGTCCAGTTTGAAGTTTGGCCTATGATGAAAGTATTAAGACACCTTGAGTTGAGTTATAAGTCAATCCATGACAGACTTGATAGACTTGAACCATGACAGTGAACAGTTAGGGCTACACCCCCTACAACAGATGGAACAGGAAAGTGAGAGCAACCACAGGTGAAGTCAATCAAAAATCAATCTGGTTTATTACAAGTTGCAACAGGGAGACACCTCCAGCACAGAAGCAGAGAAAATGTCTAACTGCCTCTTGGAGACAGGCCCTTTATATCGTAATAAAAGCACCAAATGTTCTCTAAAAACACCAGCCGAGAGGCTCGTAGGAAGTCCAAAACAAAAACGCTGTGAACGTCATCAATACAACAGTGAATAATCAGTGTGTCCTCAGTCCTTGTATCTCTAGTCTGGCGTCAATCACTATCAACAGATATGAGAATAAACCATAACAAGTCTTGTGACCTTCAACCTGCACCTTGAGCGTCACAAATAGAACACTGGAAATGATGTGTGTTACAGAAACTCCAAACACGCTAAACATTGTGTTGATCACTCTAAATTAAATGTTAAAATGTTGCAATATTAAATATTCCCATTAGAACAGCTGAATAGTAGTGTTTATAACACGTTTCATGCAGAGCTGTTGATAAGAAATATATTGAGAGATTAAAATTCTCACTCAGAGCGTTCCACATGACAAGGAGATTTGATTAAGCACAAAACGCTTAAAGGCTAATTATTTTATGCTAATTTTATTCCACTCAGCGGCAGCGCTAATGCTCGACAGAGACGTCTGTTTACGGCTAAATGAAAAAACACTGCTAATGATGCCGCTCAAATTGACTAAACTGATGACAATCATCATCATCCAATATCAATAATGACAAACTCAGGGCTGGGCTAGACGCGAGCTGAAATGAAATACAAATAGCAAAGATGGATCACTGTACTGCGGATTTAATTATATAGGCTACTCTGTGGTGGTGAAATAATTGAACTTAATCAAATCCAACATTTTATACAGGAGGCATTGCACATTGCACACCCTAGAATGTTGTATTTAGAACCTAAAAGGGTTATTTGCTGTCCCCATGGGAGAACAATTGAATACATTTTCACAGAGGATTCTATATGGAATCTAAAAGTGTTCTTCAAATAATTATCCCATAAGGACAGCAGGGGAACCCTTCTAGAACCCTTTTTTTCTAAGAGTGTACTAAATAGCCAAGATTCTCTGAGATGATACGTTCAGGCAACAGTCTAAGCCGGAGGTTGTTCTACTGTTCTCCTAGTGTTAACACACAGGCTTAGAGTCAGACTTCTTCTAGTGTTAACACACAGGCTTAGAGTCAGACTTCTTCTAGTGTTAACACACAGGCTTAGAGTCAGACTTCTTCTAGTGTTAACACACAGGCTTAGATACAGACTTATTCTAGTGTTAACACACAGGCTTAGAGTCAGACTTCTTCTAGTGTTAACACACAGGCTTAGAGTCAGACTTCTTCTAGTGTTAACACACAGGCTTAGAGTCAGACTTCTTCTAGTGTTAACACACAGGCTTAGATACAGACTTTTTCTAGTGTTAACACACAGGCTTAGATACAGACTTATTCTAGTGTTAACACACAGGCTTAGATACAGACTTCTTCTAGTGTTAACACACAGGCTTAGATACAGACTTATTCTAGTGTTAACACACAGGCTTAGAGTCAGACTTCTTCTAGTGTTAACACACAGGCTTAGAGTCAGACTTCTTCTAGTGTTAACACACAGGCTTAGAGTCAGACTTCTTCTAGTGTTAACACACAGGCTTAGATACAGACTTCTTCTAGTGTTAACACACAGGCTTAGATACAGACTTCTTCTAGTGTTAACACACAGGCTTAGATACAGACAGCTCAGCTCAAAAGACAAGCAGACCAGAGGCAAACCAAAGAGGGCAGACACTGCTAAAACAGTCTCCATCATCACTGCTGACATTGAGTGTAACCGCAACATTAATATTTCAGCAGGGAGCGATACTCACTACAGCAGCAGTGACTGACAGACTGACGCTTTAGAAAGTAACTTTGATCCACTCTGTGCCTTTCCACTCCGAAGATACACCCGATGATGTGTTCTGTCCCCACACACTCCAGCTTCCTACTGTACCATTGAGATTTTTCCATCATCAAGACTACACCGCTTTACTATCATCAATTTAACTCTGGAAAAAAAATCAGGCAATGATCATGACAGGGAAATTCTGAGGATGCCGGCGAGGATGTTACCCTAAAATTATTTATTTATGCGCCCTATATAGGATGTATATACGCACAATGCAACATAAAACTTTGTTTGTCAGATTCATGTCTGAGGAGACTTTGTATGATGTGTGCTGCAGAATTGTTGAGTCACTAAGCTTGAATCTCCATCTCAGTCCTTCAAAGCGTTACCAGGCCATGCCTCTTTCACACTCAATGCTCTGTTCACTGGCCAAGGGACTCAGAGGCCTGGGGTTACAAAATGGAGAACGCCACTAAACAAAACCTCCTTTATATTAGCCATCCATCACACCTTGCTCCCCACTAAATCTGATAGCCCTTGGTGGGGCTGGAGAGGGAGGGATTTGGACCAGCAGGCTTACGGTGAATTTCTGCCTCTTCTTTGGGGTAAGACTGTGTGAGCTCTGCAGAATCCAAAACAAGTAGGCCTAAGTCACCAGCTACAGGAGGCTTTGGGTCCATCGCTGGCTGGCTACACTGCCCCGTTGCTACAGTACCACTAATCTAGATGCCACCTGATCTAGCATTTTCTGTCAGAGGGGGGTTTTAAAAAGGGAGTCTGGACAGCCCTAGCAGTGTACAATCTTATAAAAAAGGTCTGACTGACGACAGAGCAGATGGCTGCTTTACTGTTGTTATAGCAGGCTATAGAGACTAGAGTTTAGCTATAGCCATCTGAAGAAGGATTTACATCCAGCCATGATCATGTGTTACTTTGTGTGGTGGAGTAGAGAGAACTTGCATTTCAGCCGAACACTGCACCTTGCCTTCAATGACCTGTAATACTAAATGCACTATACTGCATTTGCACTGCATGGGCTACACCTCTGCAAAACACCTGTATATGCACTGCAGGCCTATACACAGTGCTGTGAAAAACTAAGAATATAACTTTGTTCAACAAATAAATGAAATAAGTATAAATTGTTTGTGTTATTTGTACACTCAGGTTCCCTTTATCTAATATTAGGTTTTGGTTGAAGATCTGACAACATTCAGTATCAAAAATATGCAAAAGTAGAGAAAATCAGAAAGGGGGCAAATACTTTTGATACTGAATGTTAAATCCGATCTTCAACCAAAACCTAATATTAGATAAAGGGAAACTGAGTGAACAAATAACAACAATTACATACTTATTTAATTTGTTTCATAAACAAAGTTATGCAACACCAAATGCCCCTGTGTGAAAAAGTAATTGCCCCCTTACACTCAATAACTGGTTGTGCCGCCTTTAGCTACAACGACTCCAACCAAACGCTTCTTGTAGTTGTTGATCAGTCTCTCACGTCACTGTGAAGGAATTTTGTCCCACTCTTTGCAGAACTACTTTAACTGGTTGCAGTCATTGTAGCTAAAGGTGGCACAACCAGTTATTGAGTGTAAGTGGGCAATTACTTTTTCACACAGGGGAATTGGGTATTGCATAACATTGTTCAACAAATAAATGAAATAAGTATAAATTGTTTGTGTTATTTGTAAACTCAGGTTCCCTTTATCTAATATTAGGTTTTGGTTGAAGATCTGATAACATTCAGTATCAAAAATATGCAAAAGTAGAGAAAATCAGAAAGGGGACAAATACTTTTTCACAGCGTATACGCGTCACGGCAGCATCTCTCTCTCTGCATACAGTTGCGGACAAATATATTGTCACCCTTGCACTTTTCTTAAATAAATCCATATTTCTTCTAAAATAAGTTGAAACTGAAAAACACCTTCGGTCTCCACACCTTATTGGATTTTCAACATTGCAGAACCAATTTTATTTTTGAAAAAGTTAAGTTCCCATTTTTTATTTAGAAAATAAAGACAAATGGCATGGACAAAATGATTGGCACCCCGAAACTAGTAGGTCTACTTGGTTGCATAGCCTTTGGCCAAGATAACTGCAGACAACTGCTTCTTGTAGCCATCAATGAGCTTGCTGCACCTTTCTACTGGCAATTTGTTAAACTAATCAGCAGCAAACTGTTCTAATTCTTCAATGTTTGAGGGGTGCCCTCCACCAACTGCTGTTTACAAATCTTGCCAGATCAAATCGTATTGGTCACATACAAATCAAATCAAATTTTATTGGTCACATGCGCCGAATACAACAGGTGCAGACATTACAGTGAAATGCTTACTTACAGCCCTTAACCAACAGTGCATTTATTTTAAACAAAAAAAAGTAAGAATAAAACAACAACAAAAAAAGTGTTGAGAAAAAAAGAGCAGAAGTAAAATAAAGTGACAGTAGGGAGGCTATATATACAGGGGGGTACCGTTGCAGAGTCAATGTGCGGGGGCACCGGCTAGTTGAGGTAGTTGAGGTAATATGTACATGTGGGTAGAGTTAAAGTGACTATGCATAAATACTTAACAGAGTAGCAGCAGCGTAAAAAGGATGGGGTGGGGGGGCAGTGCAAATAGTCCGGGTAGCCATGATTAGCTGTTCAGGAGTCTTATGGCTTGGGGGTAGAAGCTATTGAGAAGTCTTTTGGACCTAGACTTGGCACTCCGGTACCGCTTGCCGTGCGGTAGCAGAGAGAACAGTCTATGACTAGGGTGGCTGGAGTCTTTGACAATTTTGAGGGCCTTCCTCTGACACCGCCTGGTATAGAGGTCCTGGATGGCAGGAAGCTTTGCCCCAGTGATGTACTGGGCCGTACGCACTACCCTCTGTAGTGCCTTGCGGTCAGAGGCCAA